ACAAGTTAAAGTTCTAACATCCAAGCAAAATGCACCAAAGACAATGGGGGGGGGAGGGGCGAACATGGTAGGCGTTCCTTTGGGGTTCAACCAGTGGCCGGTTCGGTCGAAAAAGAAACGACAAAGGGAAAAGAGTGCCACTGAAGAATCGGCATACCCTCCCACGTTTGCAGTGGAATCTGGGGCCCATCGAAGACAGAAATCCTCAACGGATCTTCGGCGTTCAATGCCGGGCATTAGCGTACCCCAAACAACCAGAGAGCACTGGTCCCATCTTGACGCTCTGAAAGTGTATTTTCATTCTTGACTTTTGTTACTTGGAGGGGTTCACAGCAAGTCCTGACCCGATGACTTGATGCAAACCATGAAGCTACAGGCTCCTCATGGGAAATCATCAAGAGGGCACCTACTACCGTCATCCAGTTTGGGAAGGCAAGTCTTTGTTTGGCCCCGCTTTTGGGAAGCCTGACGCCAAAAAAAGATCTGCGGAGTACGGGGCAACGAAAAGGTCAACCCTGATGCTCACATTCATGACGCCAACTTCAAGCTGGCTAGGGGCCCAAGTGGCCAGTACGCATTCGAGTATTATTCAGTTCACAATGTCCGAATCATCGGAAGGACCGCCCCCTGCTGTTTGGCCCCGGCAAGGCCGGTGATCCAGCTCCGTGCCGAGCGCGCCGCCCGCAAAGGCAGAAGAAAAAGAACACGATCGCGGTGGTCACGGCGAAGGCGACCAGTAGTCTCAGCGGGGGTTGGAGCGTGGAACCCACAACCGTGCTGAGAATTTGGAGGGTTGAAAGTGCAGTCGTGAAGGAAATCGCGACTTCACCTACCTGTGCTTGGCGTGCGAGCGATTCACCCAAACACCGGTAGGTGAAGTCGCGATTTCCTTCACGACTGCACTTTCAACCCTCCCAATTCTCAGCATGAACCACCGTGGTAGCATGCCTCTTCCAGCAAGCAGCGGCAACATCAGTATACTTAACTCATGTGGTGGATTCCCTGACTTGCATAAAACAGAAACGCACCACGGTGAATTAGAGACCTTCTCCCGTCTCGCTAAAGCTGCATTTCATTGGCTTTTTTGATCACGCTTGACGCTTTACCACTTGCCTGCGGAGCATGGCAGCATAGCATGACAGCAACTCAGAAACACTCCCAAATAGGGCTATCAATCAAACAGCTCTGGTAGAACAGCTTTGGTTGCTTGGCAAAGCGCAAATCCGAACTTGGGCGAGCCAGGCATAGAACAAAGCCCTTCTTCCTGGGCAATCCGCTGTCGTCATGGCTGCTGCGTCAGTCTGTTCAGCCGCGGGACAAGCAAAGAACCAACTCGATGTCCAGGATGTAGATCAAGCCCACAAGCATCACAACCCCAGTGACGCTCAGAAGCACCTCGCTAGCCAAACGAATCATCGGCACTAAATGCCGCCGAAACAAATCAATACCTGCCTGCGATGTTGGACAGTAGTCAAAACTGGGGTTGCAACTAGTTGGCAGCCACTCAGCCACTCAGTCACTCCACGTGTCTGCGCGCCTGGGCTACCCCGAAAACTACTGAACCACTAACACTTTTCAGGAGGCCACCTTGGCATCAGAGAACAAAACCCGATCTCCCACAACTTTGGTCATGGAGCCTTGGCTGCAGCCCAAGCTTGCCTTCAACCCGCTTGAATTCACCACGCCAGCAAAAGCAACCAAAGCAGCCGCCTGAGCTTCTGACATCAACGTCAATATTTGCATGGAGGACTTGGGTTTGTTGCCCAGGCTACTAAACTGAGAAACGCATAACAAATAGCTTCGATAGTGTAGGCTCGAGCCAAGCAGCATGAAACAATGCACTGAAGACTGATTCTGCTTGCTGCAGTACCGAGCTGACTCTGTGGTAAGCTGAGGGGATGGAAAGCTTCGCTATTTTCTCCAACGAACCTGCATCCTCTGGTACAAACTCTTACTTGAGGAGCGGGTGAACGAAAGCTAGCAGTTGTTGCATGAGATGGGTCGGTGACAGAGTGGATTCATGGGTAGCTTGTGTACAACGAGAGGCCCGGCAAGATTCGTAGGATGCGATACGCAAACGCACATGGTGGCGTGGCAAACCTTGAAAAATAAAAACAACGAGAGGCGTCAGAAGCTGTCTTAAAGCACCTCTGGGTTCTGCATGCTGCGTGTGCAACGATTCTTGCGAGGTGGTTTACTGAGAAGACTGAGGTCTCAAATGAACAAGCTGAATCGGTGGAACATGTAAAAGTTCGTAGCACCAAGTCCAAAACGGGCAAACCGAGACTGCTGAACACTGAGCCACTGCCCGGGGGGGGGGGATGGACCAGGGAGGAATCGAGCCTGAGACCCGGGGGGGGGGGAGGGGGGGGGGGTCTAAATAATTGATGTGTTTCAATCTTTTCGGCTCAAATAATTGAAAAAATCAATCTTTCGGCATTTGAGCCCCTTACCTTGCTTACGCAAGGAGAAACTTCAGCTAGCTAAAGCTAGCTTTCGTGACAAAGGCCTCTCGAACATGCATATGGACAGTTCCTACGAGGTAGGAACAAGTGTGTATGAGAATGTGTGAATAAATCAGTATATGTATATGCACAGATGGATGCATTTTTTTACATGTCTATATGCATGTGTACATATATATATATATATATATATGTGCACATATGCATGTACAACGCGCATGTCCGAAGAGCACCCTCCCCCGAAGCGTTGAGCCTCTCCTGGCCACTTCCCGGCCAGGCCTGCCATGCGCTGCTCAAGGCCTCCACCAGCGCCTCCGCATCCACCCAGGCCTGGCGAGTCGGGAGTCGGAGCTGTGGGCTTGGAAGTCACCCGCGAGTTTTTCCCATGCCTGGACGAAGCTGGGTTTCGGGTTTCGGGTTTCGGGTTTAGGGCGAATTACAATATTTCACCTACTTGATTTTTTTGGTGGTTGGGGGGCTGTTCCCCACATAAACCACCATTTGGGGTTTGGTCGTGTGAGGTCGTTATAATTCACCCAGAACAAGGGATCCCCAGGTAAGGATCTTCAGGGTGAGCTTGCCATAGGCAGAAGGCTGACCCACCAAGGGGAAAGGACACAAACTACACTCGAGTCTAAACGACGGATTAAAGGGGCACATGGCATTCTCAACAAGGCCAGGTGCCAGCAGAGACGATCAACTCAGGTGCATCAGATCAATTGCTTCCTTGGCAGCAAGGGCAACGATACCGCCTTTAGAAAACGGCCGCCGTCCAGTTCTGCTTCCCTTCATCGTTTCACACATCATTCGACGCCCCGACCTGCTCAGTGTGTGGCTTTCCCTTCTTAACCATCCACCGAAAGGGTACCCCAACTGCTGAACCATCCAGCGAAGCATCCCCTCGTTCTCAGGCCCTCCCTGGCCGCCGGGGCGCCGGCCTGTGAGGTTGCCTCGGTGCGAACGGGCCGTGTCCTTCATTTTGCCGATTGAAGGTAGGTTTTAATTTGGGCCAATGACTGTCTGTTGAAAAAAGAAAACACCAACAAAATTCACCACCTGCAGGTCCCTGAAATTATGCCTTTTGGTTTTTGGCAAAACTAAAAGGTTGAGCTGGTGGTTAAGGACAGTTCTTCCCCCAAGAGAAGTTCAGGAACTTGGCAACTGACTAGCGCGGCAGCGCGCACGTCTCTCTTTTCTGCACGGGGCCAAGCCAAAACCAAAACGGCCCGAAGAATTCGCCGCGAGTAAGTTTCGCGAGTGACCGCGGCAGGCCGGTGAACAGGCTGTCACAGCCCTTGCGCATGCGCACGGCCTAGCCTATGTGCAAGATCCTGCGAAGCTCAAGGCCACCTGGTCTCCGGTGATTTGAAGTTGCAACCAGTGACCTGTTCAGTAGGGGGACTCCATGTGTAGCGGGGAGCCCACCAAACACATCCATTGCATGGAAATGTTGCGCTGCCGGCCAACGGATTCCAGGCGGCTCTTAGCTCCGTGGCCATGGCCCCTTTGGGGCCAGGGTTCCGCGTCCCCGCAATAAACCTTCAGGCGGGAAGTGAGACGAAGCCAAAGCCCGGCGAAGCTCTAAATCCCATTCCGGGTCGACAGCGCTGAGCCTTGGGCTTTGGCACGGACAGCCATTGGCTCCGTTTGGAGCCTGGCTCTGGAACATGTCTTGGGTCCTTGTCAATGAACATTCGGTGAGGAGCCCACAGGTTCAGAACTCATGCGTTCAGCCTTTGATGAATGACCAATGGATCCGTTTGAAGGGCGTATGTCAAGCCAACTCAATGGTTCCGGCATTCAACTTTCCAGCTGGAAACCCCAGACCTGCTGAGAAACTTCTCCCATGTTGGATATCTACTTCACCCAGGGCAAGCATGGGGCTTGCAACTGAGCTCCTTGGCAAGGGGCATTTCGGTGGGGGCGTGGTCACCTAAACACCGGAAGCGTTGTGTTCCTAAAGCACCTAGAACATGTCTCGTTGAGGAAGGCGCCGTGTTGACTCCATTTTTGGCTCGGTTTGTCTCAGAATGCAAGAGCCCTGACATTGATTCTCAACACCAACCCAACGGACTCTCCCTAAATTAAAAAGGACACACACACACACACACACACATGCACACCCAGCTGGCTTGACTTTTTGCCAACATCACGCGAAGCTGCAGTGTCTGGGGTACGCTCCCACGGTCCATACAATGCTCCCGCTGTACTTTCCGGTTGCGGTCAGCTCCCTGCGACGGGCACCCCCGAAAGCTTACCATCCGCGTGCAGCATTCGAACAGCATGGGATGAAGCCTGCGCTTGAAATCGGGGCAGGAAGATATATTTGGGGTGACTGCTTGTCATAATTTTCGGGTAATGCCAGCCAAAGAGGCCCAAGAAACAGCCTAAAAGAAAGGCCTGTCTATGGTCTGAGTTGGCCTTGTTTACCCTCGCATCAGTGAATCTGATAAAGTTGTCCCATCTACAATGGATGATGCGCGAATTTGTGCTGGTCAACCGTTAAGGACGTGGCCAACCCTGAAAAAAACAAGTTGTCCAAGGACCACGGCCTTTCTCAAGGACCCCAGGACCCAAGGCGGTTCACACGTGGAAGGTGGCCAGCATCGGCAGGAGGTGCAGATGCTCATTGGCCCTGGCAAGCTCCTCCGGGCCATCACCTCGCGCCTGAGGCAAAGGGCCGAGCCGGGCAAAGGTGAAGTGAGGGGGAAGGAGTTCTACAAATGCATACATATACAAAGAGCATATATATATATATATGTATATATATATATGTATATATATATATGTATATATGCATATATACATGTATAGGTTACATCTATATACATATAATATTATATATATATATATGGGTGTGGGTCAAAAAATGGGTACCCGAAATCACAATGGAACGCCTGGCAAATGGAAGAACATAAGGACTAAAACCTGCGGTCCCCCCCCCATGTGGATTAATTTTGACCCATACCCATATGAGTATATAAACAAGTAATATGGTTGGCCTACTACATTTACAAATAATCTTTGTTTGACATTGGGTGTGTCCTGTTCAAGGGCTTCGTTTTCGGCCACTTTGCGACTTTGCGGGCTCTAGCGATGGGGGGGACGTCGGCTTTCAAAAGACGGACCTCAATTGGTTGTGCATTCCCAGGCAAAGCCGTGGGGTGAAGGCCCCTCCTTGCATGGTCCCCCTCCTCAAGGTTCTTGGTCAGGGGCCATGTCCTCCAGTTCCATTGTAACCAGCTTTCTTCACAAAGGAGTTCCTTTCAAAAAGGTGATGCGCCGCCACTTTTTGGCGGATCAACAACTCCCACCGCCCGACCGACCGACCGCCAGGGCGCGTTGGGCGTCATTTCCGCTCCCTGCTCCAGGAAGAGCCGCGTCAGCCCCTGAGCTTCCGATTCGGAGTTCGGAGTTCGGCTTCCGCGCGTCGGACGCTTGGCTTTTTCGAAAGCCCCAAGGATACATCCGACAACCACCTGGCAGAGCGGAGTGTTTTTGCCACTGGCCCAAACTAGCCGAGGACTCCTGCCGCGAAATCAGGAAGAGGGATGTTCAAGGTCATACATGGTTGATTATGAGGTTTATTTCAGGACGTCCTACAGTCTACCAAAGACTAGGGACTAGAACCCCCTACTCCGACAGGGTTTGGGCGCTGCTCATGCTGGCGGTCCCGGCGTGACCTTACCACAACTGCGGCTTCGGAAACCAGTTGAATGCTTTTGCGATCCATCCGATTCGGAGTTGTTCAGGATACGTTGGCTCCGTGGATAGTTTGTAAACAACGGGGTGGGACCGATGAGCACGCGATACTGAAGACAGCCTAATGAACCCCATCTGTGTGCATAAGGCCAACCTTGTCGAGCAACTGCCATAATAGGTTTCGCTCATCCTTTGTGAGATCGCTGTACCCAGTGAAAAGTAGAGGAACTGGAAATCAAGAAATACCCATCCCCGTCTAATTTGCTTAGCTGTAAATCATGGTTACATTTGGGCGTGTCTATTTTTTGGGGACCCCCCTGTCTCACCCCCAGCAACAAAGAGGACGTCCTCTTGGTTTCCACTCAAAACCCACAGAAACTTGATACAAACAAAGAAAGGCCCACACCCATTTACTCAGATACCCAGTGGCCATCGGGTAAAAAAACAAAAAACTGATTATTTTTAGGTTTGGTTGAGTTTACAGGGGAACCACTGAGGACCAGAGATGACTTGTGCGCGCCTTGTCCCCCACCAAGGCTGCCAGGCCCAAAGGGGTGAGGCCCTTGAGGCTCGCGAAGAAGCGCACCGGCATGGAGCGACTCTCATAGCCTCAGACCAAAGCCCCGCGGTGGGTTCGAGGTTTGGGTCCTCTCAGGTTACCCTTCTGAGCTGTCCTCACCCGCTAAAAGTTTAACTTGTAGTGGGCTACATGGAAAACCCCACCAAACACTAAAAAGCGAAAAGGCTAACCAAGTTACCTGGTGGTTTCAATAAGCGGCTTCTGGGATTGCATGGAGGGTCTCAGGGTTTGCCTCTTCCTCTGAAATGAACAGCCTCCCTTGAAAAGGGCTTCTACACTACCGGTGCTGCTTATTTGTCCCACAAACAAAGGAAAAGGCACGCCAGGCGTCCTCTCAGGTTACCCTGACTTGGTGATTTCAATAGAGGGGAAACGCCAAAACCATCCCCAACTCCCAAACCACCAAACTAGCAAAACCCGACCAATTGGAGGGAAGCTGACCCAGGGTCAGCGACCCAAAAAAAGGAGCATGTGGTGCCTTCCTTCTTGACAGGGGGAATGGGCCTGTACTCTCGTCTTCTCCTTTTTGTCCCAGGATTTTCGGCAAAAGCCAACTCAGTCTGAAAGTGCTGCCTCATAGAATCCCAAGCTACATCGAGATTGTTGCCTAAAGAGACAGGGGAAGGACGGTTTAGTCAGGAAACGGAAACACCGTAGCCACCCTAGACCAAGCATATGCCCAACCAAGCCTAAACCCGTCCCAAAGCAATCCGAAAGAAACATGAAAGAAGCTTGCACCCAACTTCACCAACCCTCATCCCAACCTAAGCCAAACCTGAACCCACGACGAATTCAAGAATCAACCACACCCAATCCAATCCTACTCCCAACTAAACACAACGCACAACCCACCCTAGACCAAACCACAACCAACCCAACCCTGAACCAAGCAACAATCAATCCAAAATCAAGCTAGACCAAGCCTAAACAAACCCAAAGAAACTCCAAAGCCAGCGCTAACCAATCGAAGCAAACTTGAAAGAAACCGAAACAAACCTGCACACACACACAGCCCAAAACCCACGCTACTCCAGGCATAAACCAGCCCGAAGAACCATGACCCACCCGCCAGCCTAAAACCCAGCAGAAACCTAAAAAGCAAAAAACTCGAACGCGAACCAAGCCCTAAACCCTCAAAACACCCCAAGCTATTCCAAAAACCACAAACCAAAATCTAAACAAAACCTACACCAACCCCGAGTTTACCCTAAACTAATGTCTAACCCAACTCCAAACCAAAACTAACAGCCCGAAACCAAACCCAAAAGACAAACCCTGAGTTCACCTCTAAGTTTACGCTCACCCAACTCTGAACCCAAACCCAAACCAATCCTAATCCTAACTTCACCCTACGCTGAACGAAGCCTAAGCCAAGCCATACCAACCCGTGTCGGTATATAGGTGCCGCACGCCGTTTCCTGATATATATATATATATATGTGTATATAATATATATATATATTATATTCTGTTTCGGACTCGTGCATGATGTTATTGTCTACATCTCTACCGCTCAGCTTGTTGGTGTCACCCTCAGTTGTTTCCCGACACGCCTCTAGTCGTTTCCTGACTCACACGTCCTGACATTGTCTTTTGTTTCCTGACTTGGTGAAGTCTCTCTGAATCAAGCAATCCGTCGGTTGGACAAACGGCGCCCGATTTTGTGTGTGAGCAAAACCAAGAAACGCCCAAAAAGGCGCACGTTCATCAAGGTGAGCAGAGGTTAGCTCAAGTCCCAACAGCTACATGAATCCCAAGGCCTAGAGAGGATGAATGGACCTTGCTTCTTCTTCTCCCGACAACAAACACGTATGTAAACGTGTGAACGCACGAATCAAAGATGGAAACCTGTGAAAACACAAAGATGCAAAGGCCCTGACAAGCACAACTGCAGATGCAAGCACGCCACCACGGAGGCAAGCAAGTACACAAACACGCACACACAATCTATACACACATGCAAACACAAATGTGCACACACACACACAAAGAAGGAAACAAGAAACACTACAGACTACCCACAAACACGACCCATGAAGCACGAAACAGCCTGCGCCTGTAGTCTGGTGGCAGCTGCAAATGACACTTCCTAAGCGTGAAGTTACCTGTTCTAGCAAAACATTTTAGCCAGACAATCTGAAAGGTTTTTTTTGGGGAAAAGTGGGACGGCCAGAAATGCCGGAGCATGCCCACGTTTCAGGCATCCATGGCGGCAAGTGAACCCACCTCTCAGGCTGCGTCAGCTTGGCCAAGAAGCCCATGAAGCTGACGTACGCGGTGCTTGCTTTGCAGATCCAGCCGAACGTGCCTTCGCATCGAGCTTGAGTGTTCCTGAAGCCAGCGAGCCAAGGATCCGAATTCCTTCATGCAAAGATCCCTAAGGGGAAAGGGGGGTGGGTGGGGGCCCAATTCCATTTATCTAGTCTTCCCCAGAAAAGGGATTGTGGAACCACAAATGGAATTCCAGGAATCACCCCCCTCCCCCAAATTCCATGTTGAGGGTGTGGGGATACGCAAAGGCATCTGAAGCAACACCTGCAGGCGGATCGGCTGCAGGTTTCGCATCACCCGCGACTCGTGAACAAACACATACACTCTGTCAAAAGGGAAGTCAAACAGAAATCCCAACTTCGTCCCAGCAATGCCAGTGGGTGAACATATGTCCATTGGCACCTCATGCGGGAAAGACACAAATGTGAGCCAATTTTGGTGTGCCCCTGTGTGGATGGCATAAAAGGGAAACCAAACGAACCCACTCATTCTTAGGGGTCCCCTATGTGGAAAAACTCTTTTGTTTCTGAGTTGGTACCCTTCAGTTTGCTATTGGAGGGAAACCTCCAACAACATGTTGGGGATGCTTTTCCTTTTTAGATTTATCACAATGGGGGATCCAGAACCCCAATCCGCCACAGTGGGACACCGGTGCAACAGGAACACCACCACCATCTGTCATAAGAATCTTTGTCGCTAATGGCACCCAGACACATGGAGCCTGGCTGCCTAAGAGACCGTGTACCCCATCTGGACCCTAAGGCCCAGAACTGAGAAGTCGACCCTGGAAGTGTCAGGGCCCGGAGAATAACACGCCAGAGCTTCAGATCCGCACGGTGCGCCAGGAGCATACGTGCCGTCCTGGGCGTACGCGTTCGAGGCGATGTTGCAAAGGAAAGGACACCCTTGACTATGCAATTGCAACCAGGCAGCCTAGTAGAAAAGGAATTGGAACCCATTTTGGGTGTGACGGAAGAACAAAAGGGTGCCACTGAACACGTGAATTTGGGTGGGGTGGGGGCGCACGAAAAAGGGTGTGTGGCAAAATGGAAGTGCATCTGCGTCCTTGTGGCTTCCTTTTATGACTCCCAAGGGAGAAGATGATCGTGGGGAATGTCATCTTTCATTGCAAATGCAACTAACGTCTCTGTCTACCACAGGAGTGGAAACAGAATTCGCGGGGTCGGGCCTTTGCTTTCATCATCCAACTTCATTCGTCTAGCCTCACCGAGCCGCACAAGGAAACCTGGGTTGCCACAGCACGTGCTCCATCCACCTCCCACAGTTCCAAGGAAGAAACAAAGTAAGTTCCCCACACCCGAAGAAACTGGGTTGGCGACACCCCGCTGCAAAAAGTTACGTTTGCTGGCAAATAGGAAAGTGAACCTTTACCAAAAGAGAAATATTTGCTTTAACCACGGCAATGGCAACCAAGGAGAGGATGAGCTTCCAGCTTGAAGCGTCATTGTGGGGGCAAGCTTTAAGCAGCCAGCTGAGCATCCCATAACATACAAATATACCAGGATGGGCAAGTCACGCGAAACTGCAGGCGCGCCTGAGTAAGTACCTTTGGGTATGCTGCTCTTAAAGTCTTATGCGTAACGCCCCGTGAGCAACAACAGTTCGGCGTGGCTTGGGATAAAAACAAGGGACTTGGCTCGGATCCAGTGAGCAAAAGAGCGTATTGCGGTTGGGCGGCTCCTCAGCATGGCGGTTCGCTCTGGAAAATAGCACCAGGCCATGCAAGGGGGTGTAGCCCATGCCGACCAGCGAAGGATTCACGGCACACCGGGCCATGAGCAAAGCCTGGCCAGTGCTCGACAAGGGCCTTCGGTCGGCTTGCAAGGCATCCCTGCATGGCCAACGGGAAACCCCGGGCTTTGGAGGTTCCGCATCCCATGCAGACACACGCCCATATCTTCTTCCTCCAATTTATGGTTTGACAGGGTTTGGCTCCTGATTAAACTGGAACAAAGATGATAGAGCTCGGCTGGGATGAGAACATCAAAGCCGATGTGGAACATCTGTCCCGTAAACAAACGATATAAGTTCAGGGTACAGGACTTTCATCATGGATGCCGTTCGTTGCACTGGAACGAACTCACCACACGCTCCCTTTAGAGAAAAAATGTCCTCACGAACCCCGGGTCGCATGTGAGCGGATAGAAGGGTAATCGTGTCTTCCTCTGTCCGCTCAGCTCTCGTTACAAGCAAACCCACCCGACATGACCATTCGTTGGATATAGCTGGTTGTAAACAGAGTTTCTCTACGGGAGCCTTGGCTGGAATTCCAGGGCTTCCCCTCTCCCACGTCCCATTGTTGGTCTGTGGGAATTCCCACACACTGCGAAGCCTCTTGCTCAGGATCACTCCCCTCAATCTCTCTCTGCCTCTCTCTCCCTCTCTCGCTCTCCCTTTCCCTCTCTCCCTCCCCCTCACTTGTCCCCTCCCCCTCTTTCTCCCGCTCTGTCTTTCTCTTCTCGCGCGTTCGCTGTCTCCTGTTGTCCGTCTTGCCTCTCTTGCTTCTCTCTCTCTCTCTCTCTCTGTCTCTCTTGCTCTCGCTCTCGTTTCTGTTTCCTCTCTCTTGCTCCGTCTCTACATGGAATTGTCTCACAACAGCCGAAGGAAAACAACATGGCGGCTTGGTTTTACAGTCCCTTTTTAGCACTTTCAATTTCCAGTGAGTAGCTTCAATATTCCACCATCATGGATGGTGAGTACTTTCAATATTTCCACCATCATGGATGGTTTCCTTGTGGTTTCCCTTCTTATTCGAAGCCCGCCCCCAAAAAAATTGGCACCACGCTCAAAGGAGCCCACGCCTTCACCGTCTGCGGGTCCGCCATCGAAGCCGCACCCGTCAAGGGCGTAAGCCCGGACCACACGCAGGGGGAATGCATGTCCGCACGCGCCTCTAGGAGCACCTCACGCGCCAAGGACATTTGGGGGTCAGGACTCAGGACTCAGGACATTTGTTGGACACGGTGACTCAGGACTGCTTGGGATCTGAATGAGAGACACATCAGACAGATGACCATGGTTCAAAACCGTTTTGGGATCCAATTTTGGGGGTAAATGGGTGCACCACCCATTTTAGAACCCAATTTAGTCCAGTTCACACCAAGGAAGGAAGGAACATGTAGGGACAACTAGGTCCTTCAGTAGAGAGATTAGAACAAGGGTACCAACTTTTTTCTGTAGTTTATTTTAGTAGGGGAACCCTCCCCCAAAAAAGGGATAAAAGGGCACTACTGGGGGACCTAGATTGATTAAGTCTAAGCACTGCCATTTTGTTGTCCAGCTTAGCCCTTAAATGGCTTTCCTCATGAAAATGTCCAATGCGCAGTGAGAACACCCTTGGGCATGAGTTGCCAATCCCTATGGCTTTATCTCATCCTAAGCCCAAGTAAAAGGTGATCCGAAGATAGCAGAAATTAGGAGCCTCTATTTTCAAGCTCTAAGGCCTTACCAAAAGCCAAGTCGATGGTACTACATTGGTCGAGCATGTGATTATTCAAGCCACCAAAACGAAATATAGGGCCCCGATCAATAGCCAGGGGCCCACACAAAAATCGAGGGCTTGACCCCTACAAAAAGGGCAACTTCAAAGGGTGCCCTCAAAAATGACCCATGCATTATCTCCTCTAGAAATGCCCAACGGATCTCAAAACGCCCACTTTAGGAGGGCCTGTAGTTGCGTCCACGCAGACAAAACAGTATATCCGTATTTTCAATTGTCGTTAATGTGTGTTGAGGTTGGCCTGCAGACTCCAAACAAATTAATTCCTCTTCTGTGACGGGGCATGCACTCCAGCCTTCTTGCAGGCATACCCAATTGAAGCCTTCCGCAAAAAAATGAAGGCCCATGCCAGGCTTTCAAGGAGGGCAACCGACATTGCTCCCTGAACCTGCGCTCTGTGCCCTCAGCGCACACCACTGGCTAGCTCACATCGGGCTGGCAGGCAAGTGGTGATGTCTCACAACCCCCCCCAAAAGGATGTTGCCACAAAGTAGAGAACCCCGTATTGTTGACTGATGTCATTGGTGCCCCCAACGGGGGGTTGAAAAAGCAAACTGGCCTCAGCCCCCAAGTGGAATTAGGGGGGACATGAGCCTAGATTCAGACGGGCCCTGAATGCTGGCAAACTATTGCAGGGACTTTGGCGTGCTACCTTAGCATTCCCTCATCATACCATCAGAACGAAACTCCGTCAACATCCTGGCCACCGAGGGCATTGGCTCGGACCTCTGCAATGATCTTCTTCAGGAATTCACTTGAAAAGAGGCCACATGCTGACGATATATGCAACCTCTAGCGAAGAACGCAGAAATCCTGAACCATCATGAACCAGGGAGCTCTGTAACATGAAAACCGCGAAACCGCCCCTTTCCGCCCCTTTCCGCCCCTTTCCGCCCCTTTCCGCCCCTTTCCGCCCCTTTCCGCCCCTTTCCGCCCCTTTCCGCCCCTTTCCGCCTGGACCTGTGCCGGAGTGCGCACCAGGTACGCGGCGTTGACGCCGGCGCCCGACACTGCATTCACATCCGCCCGCAGCTCTGCCAGCCTTTGGAAGCAAAACGTAGCATACTGAGTCGAGCACCGAGTGCCATGGCAGCTAGGGCTCCTTAAGCTCCTTAAAGAGAATTCAGTCAGAGCCATCATCCTTTCCAAGGAAGTAAGCAGTCTCGATGTTTTTGATTTGCTGGATTCGAACTGGTATGAAGTTTGGCTTAGTCTTGCTGGAGGATTGGCTTAGTGTTGGCTTCATATTCGTTCAGCATACATTTGTATACTATTCCTTCTGATGTGTCCCCGTACGACTGTTCGGGTCGGGGGGGGAGGGGCTTGCTGGGATTGAATTGGCTCAGCACTTGCAAATTCTACTTGTGATTCTGATTTGGTGACTCCACGACAAACAAGATTCAGACATTGCACCGCGGCCCCTTAACAAAAAGGTAATTAGTTGGGTGTTCGCACCATGGCCCCAAATGGCATCAAACAACATGTTCAATACCGACTGCGCACATGCACAAGTCGAGCAGCGTGACAAGCATCTCTGGCTCTTGGTAAGACTTTGCAGCCGCCATCAAGGGCGTTTGGCCTCGGGCGTGGCTTGTCATGCCCAAAAACGCCAAGGGACGTCCGCAAATTTGGCATGTCATCAAATGGCAAGCTGCTTGGCGGCTTCTATTTAAGCTCAAACTTCCATTTGCTTAAGCCCCCTGGAAAAAATAAACAATATGTCCAATAGTGATAGAGTCCTTTTAAAACCAACAGGGCAAAACAAAACATACTCTTAAGCAAACGGAAGCAAACAACCTCCAAACAGCACTTTCGCCTCCTAGAAGGCTCGCTCAGAGTGCCGTCTTTGCCATCACAGGCCTTTGGCGCACAAACCCTCAAGTCTTTTCAAGGCATTCAGCGCCCCAGGGCATGAATGATACTTTGAGAAATCCACTGAATGGGCAGAATCATTTGGGCTGGTGTCAGACCATCCTCGGGCAGTCTGGAACATTGCACTAAGAAAACCTCCCAAAGCCGTTAGGTCACTCCCGGATCAGACAGCTGGCAGATCAGGGGTGTGCTCCCATGTAAAGATATCAAAAGTACGTTGGGATCCCTATTGGTCAACGAGGGGTTCTTTGGGGAAGCCAGTTGATTGATGCCCAGCACGTCCGCCTGCGTTGCGTGGTTCGATTTTCGCTCAGCGGCCGTTGAAGTAGCCCAGCTCCCCCAAGCCACTAAGCTTCGCGTTCACGTCTGCCTTGAGCTCGATCAGCGACCGCACCATCTGCACATCGCCCGCGAAGAGGGCGCAAAGCAGCGGCGTCATCTTGTCGACCTCCTGTGCATGGAATGTCCTTTGGCCACCGTTGTGAGCAGTTCGCAATATCTCCACGTGGAAATTGAAGGGGGCATACAGGTGTCGAATAAAACCGTCTGTACATGACCACCCTGATGCATCATAGTGGGAAAAAAGGGCCCCTTGAGCTTGTTGGCTTTCTTCGCAGCAGTCATATGAAGCTGACGTGCATCACCACAGTGAAAGTGAAGAAGGAAAGGACATGAAATATCAGGGAATAACTTTCCACGCGCGCTGCATTGTCGTGGAACTTATGGCGGGTGAAGCCTACAATGTTACAAATAAACGCCGGACGCCGGCAAAGAACACTGGAACAAACCTGCCACTGTTCCCCAGAAAGCTGCGCACCTTGGCTTGCTATATGCCTTGTGCATGTGTGGAAGCATACGCAATGCTTGCAGCGATTCGCATGCAAGGTTCCAAGCTGACGACTGTTTTCCTCCGTGGAAGCGAACATACTTCGACCTTTGCAGGGCAAACCGTCGGAATAACAAGCACACAACAGTGAAACTGCATCCAATTCATCCGGTCCTGTCAGGCAATTTGATGCTAGTAGCCCCAAGGTCGACAAGGTTCAGACCAAAAAAGACATTGGAGGGTCCCTCCCCAATCGTCTCCAGCTCTCCCATCCGGCCAATAAGGGCAGCAGTAGGAAATTCAAGCAACTGGAAACTGCGTTCCCGCCAGCCCCCTGGGCTGGAGAGACCAGGAAAAGTCTGGGGAGAGGGTTGTATTGTTGAAGGACTGTGTGTTGCCAAACCTTGACTTGTTGAACAACATGTAATTAATACACAAACTGCCGTTTCCGGATGTTTCCGGATAGCTGTCTGTCTTGGTAAAGGCACCGTTCGGGACTATGCAATGAAGGGAAATGGCAATGGCGTTTGTAGTTTCAATGTGGTTTGCATATCTGGCATTTTTGGGAGGCATACGGACGTGTTTAATGAAGAGTTTCTAGTGGGTGCCAGAAATGGAACAGCTATTTTTGCCAAACCTTGTAGGCCCCTTTAACGTATTGGCTGGCAATTTGAGGCGGACAAGGACAGTCTTCACTAAGGGGGGGGACATCAGGGGTCAACATTGATTTGGTTCAGCCTTGCCATCAATCCCTGAAACTCGAGACACATCGGGACTGGTGGAGAAATACTTGCCCCGCATCAGAAAACCCGGATGCGCTTCCGACATAGGACATGGACTCCATAGCCGGTGTTCCCCTAAAGCTGAGCTTGACATGGGGCTCAGCTTGGTTGAGAATGTATGGGTTCCAGTGGTCGCCTTGGTGCAAATCACGTTTCAGTGGAATTTTCCCAAAATGGCGCCCAAAGCAAAACGGAAAGCTTGTTTGTTCGCCCGGCCAGGTTTTGCCTCTCAAGGTCCCCCAGCGTCCCGTCCTCCAAGGCCTTCCTAAGGCTTGGGAAGCGGTAGTGCGACAGGAAGGTGTGGAGATCCAAGTGCTGTCTGGCCTGGAGAGCGAGAAAAAAACAACAACCGGCCACACACCCCAAAGGTTCGTTGATAGAACAGTCTTGGGACCGAAGCGCAAGAGCACAAAGACGTCCTGAAGCGGCTTACGAAAGGGATACTGCGGGGCTACGCGGTTCGCAATTCGGTCCCCATAATGCCCAATATGAAAAGCCCCCCCCCCGACAAAATATTAAACATTGCTTTGACAGCGCTTTGGGGAAGACACTGTGAAGGGGACAGAGTTCGCTTTTTGGCATCACGAGACAGCCTGAAACAATAACTCTTCCGTGCAAATGAGGTTTTCCAAGGGCAAAAGGAAGCCAGTGTTTTGACAGGGCCTGGCCAGCCAGCTAGCCAACCAGCTGTCCAGCCAGTTACCCGAACAAGAAGCAGCCCCAACAGCAGACAGGCAGCAGGTGGAAAAGGCCGCCAAGTTCAACGGCCTATTCGAAGGTTGCGAGTAGTTTGTCTTTTGCTTTGGTTTCTTTCCCGGAGCTTCAGGGAAATCATTCTTAATCTTAGGGCTTTTTGTATTTCTGGAAAGTGATTGGTTTTGATGGCTAAGATGGCTGTGTCAAAACGAGCGCGAAATCAACACAAGTAATTTGCGGCACCTCATGTTGCTTCCCAAGCGGGTTAGTCACTGATTATGTATGTCTCACGTCAGCTCAGGTTCTCTTCGAAGCAGGCTCCAGCAATGACACACACACACAAACACTCACCTGTATACTATATATATATGTGGTACCCACGCATCTCAGGACAGTTTTCTGTGCAGTCTTCAATCTTGAATCTTCAACCAACCGTAAAATGCTTTCAAGTGTTTAGCGATCCAGTGGAAACACTTTCAAGCTTTTAGACACGCTTTCCAGCTAGTGCTTTGGTGAGCCTTTTGCCACATGTACGCTATGCTCAGTTTGACCTCTTTTCCAGGAGGTATAAACGGACAATGCTCGAAAACACTGTATATTACGGCATTTGTTTGAAGAGGCGCGGGATCATGGGGGGGTACTGTATGTATGTGGTATGTATGTATGTATGTATGTATGTAGGTATGTATGCATGCACGTACGTACATATGTGTGTATGGCTGTATGCATGCATGCATGCATGTATGCATGTATGTATGTATGTCTGTATGTCTGTATGTATGTATG